AACATGATGTTTTGGATCTCCTGCTCAACTACAAAGTCTTTTTTTTTTTGGCGGAACCGGGGATTGAACTCAGATCCTTGCGTTTGCCAGTCAAGTGCTTATCCTACTGAGCCATCTCCCCGGCCCCTCAACTACAAGTTCTGTTTACCTTATACACCCTATGCACTTCATGAGTTCTCAGCAGCATGGCAGCTGTGCTCTGAGCACACACACAGAGCACTAGTCGAATATCTATGCTACGTGGTCCTCAATTCATTCTAGTCCTTCAAGAGCCATGTGACTTGCAGCTATGTGGCCCCTGGCCCCGACCTGCAATGCAGATACATGGCCTCTCAGGATCTGAGAAAGCACCAATTCAGCTAGAGCTACTCTAGTTTTCTGCTACTGCACTGGAACACTGAAATTAACTTATTACCAAACACCAGTTACTTCATATTAGTTTTCTTCCTCAGTTCCATTCTTCCCATTTAAATTATGGGGTTGGAACTGTTACTTGCTTCCAAAGAGTAGAATCCAGAACGTTATGGGATTTTTGCTACAAAAAAATTCTAAATTTTCCTTACATTTTTGTACATTCTTCAGAATATCCTAAGAAGTAAATTTTGCTTTTCAACATGTGTATTATATAGAAGTTCAACTTATGAGCATACTAATGTCTTGAGAACTAATAAAACTTGAAAAAGTGTAACTTAGTCTCACTGAAATTAACTCCAAGGAATCAGAATTGTTTGGATTTTGTATCCTGTCCGTATTTCACCTCAGAATAAGCACTTGTGCTTGGCTGGGAGGAAAAAAAAAAAAAAAATCCCATTCTAAATTCTACTTTTCTTCCACCTGTACTGGGGGTAGTCACCTATTTTACTTGCAACTTTGAGAAGATAACAATAAGAGGCTGGGGCTGGAGAGATGGCTCAGTGGTCTGAAGCACCTACTTAGAACAAGCTTAGCAAAGCATCAGGGACCACGGTTCAATCCCCCAGCACCACATGCCAGCCAGCCCCGCCCCCTGGTGGGCTGAGCTGGCCACACACACACACACACACACACACACACACAACACACACTCTCTCTCTCTCTCTATCTCTCTCTCTCTCTCTCTCTCTCTCTAAAAAAAAAAAAAAAAAAAAACAATAAGAGGCTGGAGGGCTGGGGAGATAGTTCGGCGGGCTAAGCGCAAGGGCCTGGCTGGGTTCAATTCCTAGTACTACATGCTGTCCCGCTCTGTGCCTTGCCAGCCACTGAAACCAGGTGAGGAGGTGCATGCCTATAATCCCAGCACTGGGGAGACGGAGACAGGAGGATCACTATGAGTCTGAGCTGCACAGTGAGACCCTATACCAAATAAATAAAGAAATAAAAGATAAAAAAAGGGGAGGGGGCTGGAAGCTGGGAGGCATGAGCAGAGAGCGCACAGTGGAGGTGAATTCTGCCCAAATTATTTCTAGTGAGTTTAAACTGGTTTGGTGCTAACAGAGCTCTGTGTGTTCCTCTTCTCAAGGTCATAATCAGTTTGTCAAGTAGGCTGAGTTTGGGAGAGAATTCTAGAAAAAATTTACCTCAGCCATGAAAACCAAAACTGCTATTTTCAGACAATTCTAATACACACACACTGCGCGCGCGTGTGTGTATGTATTTTAACTGAAGGGAAAGGCAGGAAAGAAGAGGTGGCTGTGGTTGCTAGGCATGGGGCACAAACACTTGGGAGGCTGAGGAAGACCTCTGCAAGTCCGGGGCCAACACTGGGTACATAATGGTGATACTCTAAAAGGAAGAGGTGGTGAGAGGGGAAGCAACAAGGCGGGGGACAGCCTGAAGAATGTCTGGACCTGTCTGTCAGCTGCTCCCACCTCTGGCTTATGTTGCTTTCTACAGGTCTTCCTGAGAGTCCTGCAACACATTTCTATGCACTAACTTGACATTCACTGTCTGGACACCGAACTAGACAAAGCAGCATTTCATAGGACGTAGGGTTCAAAGCAAAACAGAATGGCAATCGCTAGATCTGCTATCTTACCCAGCAGCCCCTCCACACCAGGGGTCTTTTCCATTATGAACACAGTTTTGTTCACCTTGCCACCAAAGATTTTACTTCAACAAAGAGGAAAGTTCAGCCAATGAAAACTCAGCTCCGGGAGGATTCCTCCCCAGAGACCACCACCCTCTGATGCTAAGCACTGACACCTTCCTGGAAGAGCTGCTATTATTTATTCTCACAATAACCCAAACCATTCTGCTCTTGGTTTTCCTATCATCTTAAAGAACTAATTTTGTACAGAATTAGTTTTAAAGCTATTAATACATAAATACAGGACTATCCTAAAATGCAGCTGGAATCTCTACAGGGTCTCTAACCATTTCCTTCCAAGAGCAACTCAAATTTTTTCCCTGGAATGCTAATGGCTGGATCAACCTTAAAATCAGAAGTACCATCATCTATTTGACTTTGAACAAGTAAATGTACTCAAAATATGTATTACTTTATAACATGCAAAGACAGTGCATTTCCAAACACAGAATTGTTTTCTGGGCTTGGTGTAATCCCATCACTCCAGAGGGTGAAACAGGAAGACCAGAAGTTTGAGTCCAACCTGTGCAACTTAGTGATACCCTGTCACAAAATTTAAAATTGGCTGGAGGGAACTATACACTCGGGCCCCCACCCCCCTGTCCGTCTCTCGGACAAGAGCTTTCTTTCTCTCGATAAATATATTCTGCTCATTTAAAAAAAAAAAAATTGGCTGGAGATGAAGCTCAGTGCAGGCCTCGGGGGTTCAATTCCCAATATCACAATACAAACAAACAAAAAAGTATTTGGTAGCACTTGCCCAGCATGCAAAGGTACAAATGGTGAAAGTCCTACATTCTGATCAAACTTGACATTAGCTACATGCAGCCGGGTACTGCTAATTCGGTGTTGCTATGGTTTAGATCTGGAACAGCCCCCAAAGCCTCCCATTTGGAGGTGGGGGCTGGGAGGAAGGGGCCCAGCCTGGATGGGGCACCCTCATTCCTCCTGCTGCCTTCTTGCTCTGCCTTCTGGCTGCAGAGCTGCTGTGGAGAGCAATTTTCCTGTGCACCAGGCCTCCTGCCACGCTATTTCTGCTTTAAACCTGCTAACCATGGACTGAAACTTTTGAGACTGGGTCAAAATAAACTCCTCCTTTAAGTCATTTTATTCTGCCTGAAAGTACTTTGTACCTGCAACAGGAAAGTGATTAATATTGCTACTTGGATGAACTACGCTGGCTCTCGGCAGACAGTTCCTACGGCGACACAGTATCTACAGTATATCCTGTGCCCCTAAATTCTCCACAGATTTTTGCAGTTATTACTTCCCCGCAATACCAGCACTCATCCTCATCTTCATAAGTGCTGGTGCTGCAGGTAAGTACTACCAGGCCTGGCTCAAAAAATCTGCTTTTTACTCATGAGAAAAACTTACATTTTCACTGGATTTTTTAATTTTAGATGTGGGAAAACTGGGCTGTGGTCTTTCCCAGTAGGCTAATAAAAGCAGTAGACTTTTTAAGGACTACCTAATTTACCATAAGGGGAACTCCTGCCACCCCCACCCCGTCTTACTATATTGGGTGAGTGAATACAGCACCAAACTTAATATAAATTAAAGACAGTCAGTGTCAGTGCCACTACCACCAGGATGGAAACCCAAGAGAGACAAGGTTTTCCCTAGTGTCACCTGGGACTGCGCCGCAAGGAAGCAGACACTTTACAGACACTCAGGAACAGGAAGTGGCTGGACAGAGCAGAGCGAGAGGGAAGGCTTGCACAGCACAGGTGAGGCCCTGAGCTCCGTGCCCAGCAAGTGGGCACGGCGGGGCGTCACACACAAACTAAGAATTGTAGTAAAATGTGACCACAACCACAGTGCTCTACGGCTCCCCTAGATGCAAGACAAGAGCACTCCTAGCCTATTACTAGATGTTAACATCTGACTTAAAGACTGTATAAAGTGAATTTACCAACTCTTCGCACCATATAAACCTTATGACATCTGTGAGCATCAGAGAACCCAGAAGACCTTTGGCCAAGTTCAGATACCTTATTTGTTATGTCACGGCAGGCTACTTTATTTCTCTAGATTTTATCTAATTTGCTTTGAGTACATTTTGGGGCTTATCAATTGATGTATGTGGAACTATCTGCACCAAAATTCTTCAAATCCAATACCTATAGTTCCACAGCAAGCTCTGTCTATCTGTCTCTCTCTCTGTGTGTCTGTCTGTCTCTCTCTCTGGCAGAACTGGGGATTGAACTCAGGCCCTTGCACTTACCAGGCAGGCACTTATTCTACTGAGCTATCTCCCTGGCCCAGCAAACCTTCTTTTAACCTATCACTGCTGTGATAAAGAAGTGAGGGAGAAATTTTCTGGAGTGCTTTGGTCATTTTTCACTTGGATGAACACTGCTTCAGATGTTAAGTACAAACCCAAAAAAGCTTTCAAGGGGGTGCTTCGTGCATTATTCTAGGTCCCTGGCTTTCAGCCACCAGGTAGGACAAGGAAGGAAGCCACCTGGGGAAGCTCTGATGCAGGAAGCAAGACTTTTGATCTGATGAAAACCATGTAAGGTCAGAGATACACTGCAATGAATCTTGGTAATGGGCCACTACTCATTATACAACCAAAGAGTTTTGTATTTCTTCATGAAGTTTCTTGTACAAGAAAAACCCAAAACACAACAGTAAAAATACTCTACAAAGAGATGCCATGAAGACTCACTGGGGGGTCTTTTCAATCTTTTCACAGCGCATTTAAAGAAGCACTCCTGAACTGGCCACTTTGCAATGTGCTATCAGCAACGGGGGGGGGGGGCTAATGTGAATAAACATCATGTACAAACACAGCCGCCTAGGACTATGACATGGGCTGTTAAAAGTTCATTTTAATAGCACGAATTAGAGGATGGTGACCTTGCTTTATTAATTTTAGGACTAACGTACTTCACAACAACTGTTTTAGACATGAGGCCGCTTCACATACCACTTCTGTTGATGTTTCTGCATGTTCAGAAGTAACATGTTCTTGAAGAGATGTCTCCGTATAGCCCATTTTTCCACAATAGGGACAAGTAAAAGACTGTGGTTGCTCTACAGAGAAAGCCTCCCCACCATAGTACAAATCTGAAAAATAAAATGGAATTGCATTGAGAAATAATTATCAGTTTTTTAATACTTAATTTAACATTACAATGTTTCATATGGTACAATAACATCAAGAAAAAGGCTGCCTGACACACTTGGTAAAAACCTCTCTCTGTCAAGGAGCGCAGACACCTCTGCCCCTCTGTTTACAGGTGTCCTACCCTGATTTCCCAGGGCCCTGCGGTGCTCTCCTGGCACTGCCTCCCAGGCAGCTGCTACAGCCCTGGACAAGCAAGTCTCTTCCCACTCCACAGGGCCAAGAGTGCTGCTCAAAGTAGAAGAACCTTGTGGGAGGAGGAGGACTAGGCAGGAGAAGCTAGGTCCCTGGGGCATACCCTGGAAGTGGGCATTGGGATTCTGGCCCCTTTTTCTCTCTGCTTCACCCCTACCAAGAGGCACACCAACCAGGGTCCTCTACCATATGCTGTGACCAGGGAAGACTGTGCTGCCAAGGTAACAGGGCCCAGTGACCACAGGCTGAAAACTGTGCAACTAACTGTGAGCCAAAAGAAACCTTGCGTCTTTCTTCTGTTGTGTGATACTGGGGGCTGGAACCACACCAGGCAAGCACTTTACTCACCTACTCACCGGGGATCACACCCTCAGGCCTCTTATTAAAATTCTGAGACAGAGTTTCAAATGCCCGAGCCAGCTTCAAACTTTCCAACCTGTGTCTCAGCCTTCTAAGTAGCTGAGATTATGGGCATACACCACACTTGGCTCCTCTCCATCTTTTTTTTTTTTTTTGGCGGAACTGGGGATTGAACTCAGGCCCCTGTGCTTGCCAAACAGCTGCTTATTCTACTGAGCCATCTCCCCGGCCTCCTCCTTTCCATCTTTTAAACTGATTATGTCAGGTATTTTGTCATAGAGACAGAAAGTTGATTAACACATTGCCCTTTGTTGAATTTTGAAACCATTCTTTTTAAAAAAATTTTATTTATTTATTTATGTGTGTGTGTGTGTGTGTGTGTGTGTGTGTGGCCAGCTCAGCCCACCAGGGGGCGGGGCTGGCTGGCATGTGGTGCTGGGGGATTGAACCGCGGTCCCTGTGGTTTGCTAAGCTGTTCTAAGTAGGTGCTTTAGACCACTGAGCCATCTCACCAGCCCCTTGAAACCATTCTAAATCTGTATCTAATTTTAATTTTTTCCTCATCTCTCTATATACTGTGGCAATACTGCTATCAAAAGAAACAATCAGTACAGTGTACTATATAAAGGGATACAGTGCTCAAAGGAAAATGAAAAATGTACATGATCAATATAGCAACTCCCAGCCACAGGACGATAAAAACATTTAGTGAATACTTAAATGAAAAAAATACATCAGAGTAAAAGGCACATTACTATTAATTCCCTCAAGTTACTCCCCTCATGCTAACAGTTAAACCTGGCAATGTCTTTCACTGTAGTAAGCTAAAAAAAAAAAAAAAAAAAAAACGTATTTTTTGATCACACCTTATTTTTCACTGAATGTACTACACTTACAGCAGGAAGGACAATCAGCGATCCGTTCTTGTGGATGCAAACTTGGACAGTGTACCACCACAGGGGACTTTACCCAAGTGGGTCAGGTGGGTTATTGAACAATGACCCGGAATCTGTGGGAATAATCTATTTACTACATTAGTATAACTCAGGGAATATCCATTTTTTCTCCAGTGGTTACTCACACAAAAAAGACTAAATATATTTAGTATGTTACATTACTTCACTGTAAGAACTAATTCTTTAAAACAAACAATGGCAAACGTAAGAGTATTTCTTTTATAAGAAAATGAAAGTGTCCACTGAAAGATTTGTTTATATTCTTTCTTGAGACTTAAAACTATTTTAATTAATTAATTAATTAATTAATTATTTGGCGGAACCGGGGATTGAACTCAGGCCCTTGCGCTTGCCAGGGAAGCGCTTATTCCACTGAGCCATCTTCCCGGCCCCCTCTTAAACTATTTTAAAGGTAGTCGTGCATTAGGTATATAGCCTGATCAGTTAGTTATATGTACAGAAATGTAAGGTGGATACAGGGTAGTTGAGGATAAATACATTAAAAAAACAAACAAAAAACCAAATAGTATTTCCCTACACAACAAAGAGTATGAGCCAGGGCCGGAGAGATAGCTCAGTAGAATAAGCACTTGCCTGGCAAAAAGAGCCTGAGTTCAATCCCTGGTTGGGAAAAAAAAAAAAAAAAAAAAAGTGTAAGCCAAAACCCATTAACTATTATTCCTTTGGTAAAACACTGAATGCTTTCTCTCTAAAATTGAATACAAGGGCTGGGGAGATAGCTCAGCAGAATAAGCATTTGCCTGGCAAGTACAAGGTCCTAAGTACAATCCCCAGTACCGGGGTGGGAGGAGGGGAATACAAGAAGAGAGTATTTACTCTTGCCCATTTTCTTCAGAAATCTAAAAAGAGTAAATGAAAGGCATCTAGATGGAAAGGAAGAATTAAAATAACCCTATATACTTCTGTAATCCCAGCTCTTGGGAGGCTGTAAACACGCGGATCACTGAATCCAATCTAGTAGTGAGACCCTGAACATACTGTAATCTTTCCCTAAAAAATAAAAACAAGGGCCCAGGGAGACAGCTCAATAGAATAAGCACTTGCTTGGCAAGCGCAAGGTCCTGAGTTCCATCCCCAGCACCACAAAAACAAAAACAAAAAAACCCAACCTATATATTTGTAGGTGACATGGCCTTTCCTAAGAAATCTATTAAAAACCTGTTCCAGCTAATAATTTCAGCAACACTGTAAGATACAAGATGTATATACAAAACTCAGCTGGGCATGGTGGCACATCCCTGCAATTCTAGCTCTCAGAAAGCTGAGGCAGGAAGACTGTTGAGTTTGAGAACAGCCTGGCCCACAACATTAGTATGAGGCCAGCCTTGACAGCCTGTCTCAAAAAAGTGAAAATAAACAAAAACTGATTCTTTTTCTACATACTTACAATAAACCTAAAATAAATAAAAATTTGCCTATAGGAGCAAAAAATAAAATATCAGGACTACATTTAACAGAAGAGGTATATAACTTATACTGCTAACTATAAATCACTATTCAAAATTAAAGACCTAAAAATGGAAAGATAGCCCAAGTGAGCTCAAGACCAGTCTGAACTGCATAGCAAAACCCTGTCTCAAAAAAAGCAGTGTGTGTGTGTGTGTGTGTGTGTGTGTGTGTGTGTGCTGGGATTATAGATATGAAGATATTATTATTATATTCTTCTTCAAACCCCCTATTAACTCCATATGGAGAAATTAATTCTAACTGGATGAAAGACCTAAATGTAAACGCTGAAATATAAAGCTATTAAAATAGGCTTAAATCTTTTGGCCTTCGATTTGGCAGTGGTTTTCTAGATACGACACCAAAAGCACTCAACAAATGAAATGAAAACTTTCGTGTTTCAAATACATGACCCAGGAAGTGAAAAGACAAAAGAGAACGGGAGGAAATGCTTGTTCACCTGTTAAGGAACATATATACAGAATACTGAAGTATTACTACAACTCAGTAATAAAGGCCCATCATGTAATTTGTTAAAATAGACAAAGGATGGGAACAGATATTTCCTCAAAGTTACATGAGTGGCCAATAAACATAATAAAAGACACTTAGGCCTTTAACCACCAGAGAAATGCAAATCAAATCACTTGATATATGCTTTATACTCACAAAGCTGGCTACAAGAGACAAATAATAACTGTTGGCTGAGTAAGAAATTATGACTTGAATCACTACGGCTTTTTAAATACGTGAACAATGTCCCCTAACAAGCTGCAAAAGTGACCTGTTTTCTGATGACTAGTACGAGAATGGGTAGCTGTGGAGCTGCTAGCAAGAACACTGTGACTTCATTCCATCTGTACTATTTCATACCTTGTCAGTTGAATAATTTTGTAGTATCTCTCATTAAAAAGTAAATAATGATAGAATACTTAGAATGTATAAGCAAGGCTCATTTTCTTTTTATGAAATGGGAGCTTCATGTATGCCACTGAGGACGGTTTTACAGCATTCTTCCTTCACGGACAGACAAACAAAACTGCCACTGGCCATCATTGGCGCTGTCATTGAGTACTTACCGAAATCTACCCTTGTTAATATGCACTGCATTGGGTGGTCAGTTGTGTGCCTTGTTGTAGTTGCACCACTTTCATAACAAGATGCACAAAGATCGTAGTCGTAGCAAATTAAACACTTATATCTGCGACCTCGAAAATTTCCTTTTAAACATGCATCACAGCTGACACCTATAAAAAAAAGAAATCTCTTTAATTAGCAGCTGTAAAAGGCCACTTTCCATTTCATCTGTATAAATGTTGAAGAGATTAACTTAATCCTACAAATTCGTCCTTTCCAAAATAACTAGAAATGGCAAGTGACGACTGCATTAAAGAATTCCCACGAGTGTGCTGGCTTGGATGCTCGTGAGTGGCTGGGTTTTAGGCGCCTTGCAGAAATAACTTTAAGTATTTGATGAAATGTAAAAGTCCTCTGTGAAATATTTGGGTAGAAACCGAGGGAAAGAGAACTAGTACCTAAGAGCACAAAGCAGAGCTTTCAGACCAAGTGCACTTGGTCAACCAGGTAAAAGTCTGAGTTTAGTTTTCCATGGCACTACAGGATGCAGTACAGGAAGCAAAGACGAAATCCTGCAGGAGCAGTCATTTCCTCAGAAAGCTGCGCCAAGGACCCTTTTGGTGTCGGCAAGCTAGAAATGCTGTCAGGGAGCACACACACTGTCCTAGTGAAGCTCTCCCACCCCACCTGCAGGTAGAGTGGAGTAGAAAATAAAAATGCCTGAAAGGTCAGAACCACAAGCCATCTTCACATAGGCTGACAGCGCAGATTCCACCACGCGGCTCTCAAAAACCCAGCAAAGGGGGGCTGGGGAGATGGCTCAGTGGAATAAGCGCTTCCCTGGCAAGCACAAGGGCCTGAGTTCAATCCCCGGTTCTGCCAAAAAAAAAAAAAAAAAAAAAAAACCAAAACCCAGCAAAGGATTTAGAGCGGTCATAAATGAGTCTTACCATCAAGCATCTCACAGGAATAAAGGTGCAATGAGTGAGTATGCTTTAAATCATAAAATAAAATAAAGTAGCACCAGAAAGACCTAGCAGAAGCAGTGGACTGGGACTGTCAGCATTCACAATCAGAACTGGATACCAACTGCAATCCGAGCACTGGGGGTGGGAGACCACAATCAAGGCTGACCTGGCTTACACAGCAAGACTCTGTCTCCAAACAAAAAATAAAAAAGCCATTGAAGAACTTCAAGATTAAAAAAACAAAATAAAAACAAACTTTAATAAACCTCAGTAGGCTGGTCTAGTAGTAGGAAATCTTTTTTTTTTCTTAAAGTTTGTGTGTTGCCAAAGTGAGCACAGAAGACACTTTTAAATCACATGTGTATGGGCTGGTGAGATGGCTCAGTGGTCTAAAGCACCTAATTAGAACAAGCTTAGCAAAGCACAGGGACCGCGGTTCAATCCCCAGCACCACATGCCAGCCAGCCCCGCCCCCTGGTGGGCTGAGCTGGCCACACACACACACACACACAAATAAATAAAATTTTAAAAAAATCACATGTGTATGTAGGAAACGCACAGAGTGGTAAGCACGACATATGTGACAAGCAAAAAGTCTGGCACTCAGGAGCTGAGCATGTAATCACAACGCTCTGCAGGCTGAGACAGGAGGACTGCCTTAAATCTGAGGCCAACTGAGGCCACAAAGTGAGTTCAAGAGCCACTTAAAATATATAGCAAGACGTCATCTCAAAGCAAACCAATCCAACCAAAAAAACTAAAGTTTGGTATTCAGAATACTTTAGGAACTCTGATACAGAAAAATGACCAACATCTGAGAAAACAGTATGAACTGTCAATAAACACTACACAGAACAACACAAGCGGCATCGAAGAGGTACAAATAAAACCATCAAGAGCTTTCATTTTGCACCTGGCAGAATGCTGAAGAAAAGCTGGGACCCTGCTGGTGAGAGGCGGGGTGCCCTTGCAGAGACGCACCGCGCGAGCTCCACTCAGTCACTGCGCAATGCCCCAGCTGACTGCACTCCCCACACTCCCTCGGGGCACGCCCTGCAAGGAGCCGCTGCTGGATCCACAGCGGACACAGCACAGGGGAGGCAGGCACCACTCAGACAGATCAAGCAGAGGGCAAGGCTTGTGGGTGAAGAATGTTAGACTTAAAAAGATGATATCTGAGCAGAAATATGAGCCATTTCCAACTTAAAACAGCATCCCAGCATGCTGATGCTTTGAGCTCAATGCTGACAGCACTATACAGGTGTGAGAACTGGTTTAATGACTGGGGACAAAACCTGTCAGCCTAGGTGCCAGAAACATAAGCCAGGCTCTGTTGCCAAACACTGCGGCATGAGCAAAGAGACCCTGGTGCTGCCCGGCCCTACGCACTCTTACGAATTACCTAAGTGGTTCACGTAGGAAGCAGGGCAGGGTCTCAGGCTTTACCTACAACCCAGCTGGGGCCCAGTAACTGTTAGTCCCTTAACAAACAGACCTTTTCTTTCTTTTTTTTTTTTCTGAGAGAATCTCACTATGGAGTAGAGGTCAGCCTTGAACTTAAAGTGACCGTCCTGCCTCAGCCTCTCAAATGCTGGTTTCACAGGTGTGTGCCATTGTACTTGGGTCTTTTGTTTTTTCCTTCCAGTGCTGTATGTAAATGGGAAACCAGGGCCTTGCGATTAGTGGACAAGAACTTTATCATGAGCTACAGCCCATCCTAGTAGAGGCTTTGGCCTGGAGTGTAGCCCAGTGGTAAGCTCACACTTAGTATGTGTGAGGACCTGGTTTATCCCCAGCACTGCTCCTCCCCGCCTAAGTTTAGGTATCACTTAACCAATACAATGCATAGCCTACAGAGACTGAGTTAATCAAGCATTTACTAGCTTGTAAGATGGTAACTAGCAAGTCACATCAGGTGATGGTGGTGTATTGTGATCCTTTACTCAAGCACATGCACCAAGAAAGATGAAGATGCTAGAGAACACAGTTCAAACCTAGTTTTGACAGTGACACAGATAGAACCCCAATGAAAAGATGTGTGTATACCTGATGCCCCATCTGAAAAAGCCACATCTGAATACATTTGGATCCCCTATATTAAGTACTTATGGGAAGCAAATACATAAAGACTATGAACAGAAGTCAGAGTGAAAGCATAGCTGTGGTGGGGACAGGCATTTTAAAAGCCACAAAAATACTATGTATAGTATCTTTTCATATTTTTACTGATTTTTTTGAGTCAGGGTTTTGCTATTTATTCCAGGCTGGCCCTGAACTCAAGCTGGTCTCAAACTCAAGATTCTCCTCCTGCCTCAATCTCCCAAGTGCTGGGATTACAGGCATGAGCCACCACAACTGGCTTCATTTATTTTTTCTTCCTTTTTGAGCCAGGGTCTCACTCCGCAGTACAGCCTGGCCTTGAGCTCAGGCAATCATCCCGCCTCCGTCTCTGAGTGCTGGAGTCCAGTATGCAGCTGGCTTCATTCACTCACTTTTCAGAGTACACGTGTGCAGCATTTAACATCATGCCTTGTGTGCAGCTGGCTGTACAGAGCTCACCAGTTCCTTTCTCATCCCCTTCCCTCACCTCTCCCCATCTCGATTTTCTTCTTATCTGACAAAGATTTTTCACTCTACTTCCTATCTTTACTTTGCTATTTATAATTTGTCTCTCACAGGAGAAACCACATGATATTTAAGCCTCTGTGTGATTTATTTCACTTAACATAATCTCAAGGTGCATCCATTTTCCTGCAAATGACTCAAGTTTATCCTTCTTGTTGACCAAGTAGTATTCCACTTTGAGCAAACACCAAGACATTTTTAAATGTATTTGTAACAACACTTTAGGGCCAGCCAAATAGCTCAGCGGATTAAAGCACCTGCTTAGGCAGACACAGGGGCTAGGAGTTTGACCCCCCCCACCTGCCCTGCTGGCCCCACCCCCCGGGGTGCTCTGAGATTGCGATTGAGACTGGGCGTGAAGGTGCACCCCTGTAATCCCAGCACTTGGGAGGCTGTAAATAGGAGGATCACTATGAGTCTGATCTACACAGTGAGACCCTGTAGACCCTGTCCAAAAAAACCAACCAACCAACCAAACAAGCAAACAAAAAAACACTTTTGTGTTTGGGAAACCCCAGGGTGACCATATCAGGCTGTTAGCAAGGCTCAGGCACCCTCCACCAAGTGTGCTCCCTAAGAAGGGTATGTATGATGCATGTTAGGCAATCTAGAGCCTGAGAACCACAAGCAGAACCATACAATGACGTCTCAGTTCACAAGCCCTTCTGTTTGCAAACAAATTGGTTTTTTTTAAACATTTATTTATTTATTTTGTGTGTGTGTGTGTGTGTGCGTGTGTGGCCAGCTCAGCCCACCAGGGGGCGGGGCTGGCTGGCATGTGGTGCTGGCAATCGAACCGTGGTCCCTGTGCTTTGCATAGCTTAGCTTGTTCCAAGTCGGTGCTTTAGACCACTGAGCCATCTCACCAGCCCCAAATTGGCTTTTGCAAACAAATTTCAGTTTTGTTTTTAAACCCTGCATCAAGTGATGAACACGACCAGAGTCATCACTTCCAGAACTGTGCAAAGAATTAAGTTTGTGAGCCGACGTACCACTGTACTACTAGAACAACTTTCTAACAAAGGCACTTCCCAAGAAGTAGCTCTTGGCATTTTGGCAATAAGTCATGCAAAGATGAACATGAAACCAGTTGTAAAAATGAACTGCAGTAATTTAGTGAAAAGCTGAAGAGCCAAAATTATTTGCCTTACAAAAGATGGTCAAAGGATTATTTTAAGATGTGAAAGTGAGGGGCGGGGAAATGGCTCAGTGGAATAAGCGCTTCCCTGGCAAGCGCAAGGGCCTGAGTTCAATCCCCGGTTCCACAAAAAAAAAAAAAAAAAAAAAAGATGTGAAAGTGCCAGGAAAATCTAAAGTTTATAATGCTTCATAAGCTAGGTGTATAAATTAGAAGTGGAAAACTTCCCCTTTCTATTTAAGCATCACAGGGGTCAGATATGGTGGCATATGACTGTAATCCACTCAGAGGACCATGAGTTCAAGGCCAACCTAGACAATTTAACAAAACTGCTAAAAAAAGAAAAGGGACAGACATACATAAAGCAGGTACATTTAGGGGCTTGATTCTTCTTTCAAAAGTATTTATTTTTAAGCTGGTTAGAATGGAATACACC